ACGGACACATGTCTCATGACAGTTTGAAAGGAGGGGACATTTTTCAGGGAACCCCAGTCGCTTGGAACATCTCCGTTCTCCTGGCCTTCCCAAAGTGCAGGCCATGCCGTGCCTGGTGGATTTTTACGACTGCCTCCGGGCCTGGGCCAACCCCAAGTCCATTGGATACCCACCCTGGCGCAAGGGCAAGCTGGATTGCCACGAGTGACCTGCGCACACCGGACACCCTTCCGCGGGTTCGGTCGGCAGCGGTTCGGTTGGGCAGCAGCCAAGGGGCTGGAGCCATCGGAGCTGTCGAGACCTTGCTCTTACAGTGACTCTTACAGTAGTAGTTGCATCTAGCTGATGTAGACTGTTGATGATTATTAGAGTGCGTGGATTCGAGATGAGGGCGATAGAAGAGGTTTTATAATCCAATTGAGGGGATGGTGTGGGAGCACGTCCGCAAGTTCGCGCATCCAATTGAGGGGGTGTTATATATCAATCAAGATTCTGCATTACGTGTTAGTAATTCACCGATGCCGCGGTCGGATGAATCTCTTGATGCCCTCGGCTGATCTGATCTTACCTCACCGTTGGGTGCGAGGTATTACTACGAGGAGTTTTTGACCAAGCCGATGCATGCGCAGCAGAAGGGTGGGCATTGACGCCCAGGAGACGCATCAAGGCAGGAATTTGCTGGGTTTGCGTGATGGGTTTTTTAGTCACACACAAACACACATGTCACACACTTATTGACATGCGTACTGATCCGGTTGCGGTTGCCACACGCCGGCCCAAGTGAAAAACCTAAGGAACCAGGACAGGTGTCAGGAAGTGGAGGCCCTTGCTGCAAGGTTGGAGGCCAGCAAGACTCAAAACACGAAACGCGAGTGGCGATTAGTAACAGAACCATATCAACCAAAGATCGGTAAAGAACGTACAGTCTCCAATCCAAGAGCTGTGATTCCAACAAATACACACACACACACATATATATATATACATACACTGTAGTATGAAAGTATGTGGCACGATCCCCAGAAGGAGGGTTATATGGACCGGGAGTTGTGCCACTGTATAAAACCATCTTGGACTCCAGTGAGATTCCAAAGTCAGCCTGAGCCTTGCAAGTTCGTCTCTCTCTCTCTCTCTCTCTCTTTCTCTCTCCCTCTCTCTGTTCTTAATTTTCCTTGGAAGTGACTTGTGCCCAGGTTTTGACTTTGTGGCTGCTCCGGGCATTGGGAGTGAGAGGGGGCCGGCCGCGTTGAAGATGGGTGCGGCAAGAGAAACCATAGGGAAGGTGAATGTGATACTGGCACTGTTTCCAGTGGTTTCCTAACAAGCATGGATTTAGCTGTGGCAGTTCTTGGGTTGGTAACCTATGTTTGAACCATAGTTACCAATTTCCATAGCCACTTAACATTATTGCCGACACCACTCGGCGAGCTCAGATCAAAATTCGCTGTTTGCTTGGAAGTGTGAACAGGTCATTGGTGCAGAGCAAGAAGCCACAGTCCCTCAACAAATTCAATACCACACTGTACTGTACAAACATAAGAGCCCGTGTCCAAAGTCTCGTAAGCATGTAGGTCTCGCAGAGGCAAGACGTCCAGCCTACCGAGTCCCTGAGCGAAAGGAATTAAATCAATACCTACTAGCGACGGCCTCCAACCTATTAGCGATGGCCTCCAACCTAATAGCAAAGATGAGTGTGCCTCACGATGGGGCAGTGCCCGAACCCGTCCTCACTTAGATTAGCCGCACATCCATGAAGCGTCACCAGAGGAAAGAAAAATCAGAGGTGTGGAATGACATGTGACGAGGCAGCAGCTCGACGTTTGTCGGGATCGCTTGACTTCCTTACTTCAGATGAGACCATTGCACCTATTCCTGGATCAAACTTTTGTTTTTCTTCCGCGTGAGTTTGGCAGATGTTGAGGGTTCTTTTCATGCATACCAGCTGGAAACTCAAGGCATCAGCGGGAAACTCATGCAGGCGAAACAATCAAGTATAGCGCCCACACCCTAGGACCTAAGACTTGGACCAACTGCAGGAAAATCATTGCCAAAAAAAAACGGTTGCTTGCACTTGTGTGCCATGGACGGCCGCCAAAGCACGGTGGGCTATCATGGCAGTTGAAGCAGAAGGTGCCGGTATGCGGCAAAACCGAAAGCACCAGCAAAGTGACATTGTGCGATACTGTTTTGATTTTGATCAGTTTTGTTGACTTTTTAATGGATCAAGACTTGGTCTAATCATTCTCGTTCTTTTCCATGCGTGGACGGCGTTTGAGGTCGGACGTGCTTTGTTCCTGAGGTGGAGGCCGCGAAGGCTACTTGCTGCCAGCCTCAGCCTTGACGCCAGCATTCCACCCGCTGAGGAACTCCTTGAAAGCTTGTGCACAGGCGGGCGCTGAAACGCGAAACACGTGATGATTATGCGGGGAGCCTGGCAATTTTCAACCTATCCTTGAGATAAAGGCAAACCTCGTGAGCCCATAGCCATTGTAATTGAGCCGGCCGTGACTTCCGACTCGTATTCTGAGTATCCTTGTTCTTTTGCCTCTTCCGCCGATGCAGCATCCTTCAACCTTCACGCGAAGCACTTGAGCAGCTGAGGCAGACGCCTCAAACTTCCGGAGCTTTAGTGGCTTGGAGTAGAAGCTGGCGAAAGTAAGGTCAAGGCAAGGCTTTGACGCTTCCTGAAGCTCATTCTTTGCCCGTTGGAACCGTTATATAATTATATGGGCTTTTCTGGTTGTAGTTGTTGATGCGGGCTGAGCGCGTCAGTTCACAAAGTACCATAGAATCCATGGCCACCTGAGTTACGATCAGATTGCAATCAGTTATATAGTTACATGTGTAGTTACATGTTACATTAATTGATACATAGAATGTGTATACTTGTGTGTGTCCATGCACACTATACGCTGCATGTACCCATTTGGGCGAATTGTATCCAGTGGCCCTGCCGTTTTGTTTTGGCTGAGGCTCGCCAAAGCTCCCAAAGTCTGGAAGTACTCGGGCGGAGCGGTGGGGGGTGTTGGGTCAGACGCTTGCCAAGGACGACTGGTCCCAGCGCGAAAAGACCAGACTTTGGAGGTTCTAGCACCGCACCTTTAAGCACAGGAAAAATTCGGACGAGTGAGGTAAGTTTTTGCCATTGGAGACTTTGTTGAGTTTTGGTGATGTAGTGCATCAGCGTCAGGGATTTGCATTAGACAATTTCACGGGCAGGAGAGCTCCCCGACTTCTGGGCGGGCATCAGAAGTGACGGTGGTGCCATTGGAGATTGGAAGCGTTGGGAGTCGGAGCCGCCTGACACAACGGAGGGGCTGCGGGGCAGTTGGTTCCATACGTTTTGCAGAGCCATCAAGAACCTCATTGTTCGTGATGTATTTAGGAGCAATTGACATCGCCTGTGGCTGGACGAATAGATATGCCACGTTTCGGCCTAAGCCATGAGGCCACAGCGAGGGGAAGTTTCCGGAGCAGGTGGGGATGCGCTCTGCAAAGTGGCAACCTAGAACAGACAGGAACATCATATTCTTTTGAAAGCATATTGCAGCACGCTAAAGTTTTTTCCCAACACCCATCCAACAGCCCCCATGAACGAGATCCTTTGACAACGAGTTCCTGGAATGCCACCATCGATGGTTTCTGAGAAGTTCCCCCGCCTCCCTTCGCAAAAAACGACAAACATATAAAATTAATTAGAATTATATAATTTTGCACAACTCTTATGACATCTTATGCCTCAACAGGTCATCTCGGAGCTGGAAGAGCGCCTGGAGCGTCAGGGAAGCCAGTCGCATCAGATCGAGCAAACCCCGCAGTGGTTGGGAGGCTTTCGTTCCCCCACATCTGGGGGTGCTAAGCTTTGGGTGAGACGCTGATAGAACACCGATGTTCTTTGTGGTCGAAGGTCATTGAAGCCTTCGCCTAGGATTCGATCCAGTCATGTTGCCAATATTTTGGCAACATGTCCTGAGGCCAAAGACTCCAGCATGAGCAGGAGAGGCAAATGTGGCTGAATCAACAGCTGGAGCACTTAGATGGAAGTGCCAAGAGATGTTCCGTCGATCGGCTGGGGGGATTTTTGCAAGCCATGATGGACAGCAACACTGACCTTGAACATCCAGGTCACTCCCATCACTTGTTAGGCATTTCCTCTAGGAAGCCATGCCCTGCCATACTATCCGGACCATGAGGCAGCTCCTACAGTGCCGGGTGGCACGCCTTCAGGCCGAGAAGAGTCTCTGGGCTTGAATGGGGAGAGGTGGGGCCCGGAGTGCTCAGACCCTCAGACCCTGAGCCAGTCAGACTCTTTCTCCAACCTCCGAGAGCGCTGGGCATCTCTTGTGAAGCGACTCTCCGCCCATGCCGAACCGCACGGTGCCTGCACGGGGAAGGGTTCTGGACAGTGCCTGCCGTGAAAGCGTCGCGTCGCAACCAAGGCCAGTTGCTGCAGAGCCTGGAGTCACTGGCGCGGTCCTTGCCACCCACCTTCTCGCACCTGGCCGCTGAGCAGCTGGCTGGGGGACCTTAGACACGGATGGTGTTGTCGTTGTCCATCCCAGACGCTTTTTTGAGTTGGAAGCCCCCACGGATGACTCAGCTATCGCTTGGTTTAGTACTGCAAAGAACTCAATCCTTTTTTCAATTGTTTTCATGCGTGCTTGGTGTGTGCCACTGGCCGCCTTGCCATGCGTGCCACTTGAGGCTCATTACGCATCGTTTTCACGAGGCGCGGAGGAGGTTTGAGTTTGGCCGAGGTCAGGAGTTTTTCAAGCATTTGGGATGCTCCTCTCAAACCTGAGCCATAAACCCTATGCTTATGGTCACAAAACTTAATCAAACGGCTAGCTGTCAGCTTGGCGAGGCAGACTGCATGATGAACTCGGGTCGATGCTTTTGGCTCCAATGGGTAGCTTGACCCATCAGTTGCACAGCGCAGATCAGCAACAAATCGTGTGTGAGGTGCTCCCTTTGAATACTTCCCAAGAAGGCACTCCAACATGAAGACTTTCTATGCGCTCTTGCTGGTGGCAGCCCGGGCTTCCTTGGAGGAGGAGGTGGCATCGCTGAGGGCTGAGATGAAAGCACAGAAAGAACTGATCGAGACCCAGCAAGCGATGATCAAGGAGCTTCAGCCTCTGGGTCGGCAGCTTCAAACATGGGTCACTCAAGCACAACTGACTGCCGCAGTGACCGCACTGCAAAACACGGACTACAACCTGGGAGGGGCCTTGGATTCTGCCTGGTTGTGCTTGTGCGGTGCCCTGGTCATGTTCATGCATGCTGGCTTTGGCATGCTGGAGACGGGCAGCTGCCGTGCCAAGAATGCTTCCAACGTGCTGATGAAGAACTTGGTGAATGTTTGTGTGGGCACTTTGGGCTGGTGGCTCTTCGGGTGGGCCTTTGCCTATGGTGCCCAGAATGGCCACTCGACCGGTGTGGATACATCTGAAAATTTTTCCCTTTAGATCGTTTGTATCCCTCCGGATGTTTGGATGAACGAAGCCCCTGCAAGGTTTGTTTGTGTGTTGCGTTTTGTGTTTTGGGCACCTGGCTCCCTGAATGAATGCAGGCAATGGCTTCATTGGAACGACAGGCTTTGCTGGCTTTGACTTCTACACGCAAGATCAGACCACTGGTGTCATCACGCCCTCGAGCTGCACTGCGGATGGCTGTCAATCAGTGATGCTGATGTGGTTCTTTCAGTGGGTCATTGCCTCAGTACACCTGAGCTACCAAACCGAAACTTGCCGTGTCGGGGTGTTGCCGGGGTGTTGCTGTGTTGGGGTGTTCACTAGTCAAACCTCTCTTCCTGCCCGGAGGCCTTCTGCACGGCAGGCGCGACCATCGTCAGCGGTGCTGTGGCGGAGCGGGTGAAGAGTCCCACCTATGCCATCTTTGCCTTCTTTATGGCCAGCTTCATCTACCCAGTGATCGTGGCATGGACCTGGGGTGGGGGTTGGATTGCTACGGTGCTCGATGTCGGCTACATGGACTTCGCAGGCGGGGCGGGCGGTCCAGGTTCCTCAGCGTTGACCATCGTTGACCTGTTGGCACTTGTTGGTTCTTAGATTCTGGGTCCAGAATCTAGAAAACTGCTAAAACGGCTAGCATTCGTTCTTTCGCACAAGTGGTCGCTCTCCAGGCAGCGGCGTGGTCCACCTGACTGGAGGAGTGGCAGGCTTGGCTGGAACCGTCGTTCTGGGACCCCGGGCTGGACGCTTCACCAACCCAGAGGAGTTTGAGTGCCACAATCTTCCCTTGGTGGTCCTTGGCACTTTTGCTTTGTGGTTCGGCTGGTATGGCTTCAACCCTGGCTCCACTCTTGCAATGCATGATGGAGCCACCGGCGCGATGGCAGCACAGGTGGCCATGAACACGACACTTGCTGCGGCCACCGGTGGCATCACTGTCTTCATCCTCCGCTTTGCAATCCAGAAAAAGTACGATGTGGGTGGTTTGTGCAATGGTATCTTGGCAGGGTTGGTCTCCATCACCGCAGGCTGTGGCAACATGGAATGTGGAAGTGCTTTTGCCACTGGATTGATTGGAGCATTCGTGTACCAGGGTGGATCCATGCTTCTGCAGAAGCTCAAGATTGATGATCCAGTGGATGCGGCCCCAGTTCACGGCTTCTGTGGCATTTGGGGTGTGTTGGCCTGCGGCCTGTTTGATTGGGGCAAAGGCTTTGATTACTATCACGGCTGGAGCGGATTTGGTTGCATGCCAGTGTCAACAACTGACTCGTCCTGCAAGCCAGGCTTGGGAGGGAGTGCAATCGGAGCACAGTTCATCCTCATCATCATGGTGATTATTTGGTCTGGCAGCCTTTCTGCCATCACGTTCCTCCTCCTGAAGCTCACCGGAACCTTGCGCATCAGCGAAGAAGTTGAAGCTGTGGGTATGGACTCTCATCATCATTCCCCGCCCAAGGCCTATTCCTTGAATGCGGGAGCCGGAGCCGCCGGAGGCACCGGCTCTGGGTCCGCTCCACTGGGGGTCCTCCCGTCAGCCCCGGCAGGATCAGCAAGCAATCCCAAGGATGCATGGGGTGCCAAGGCCGATCCGGCCTGAGTCCGCCTGAGGGCATGATTTTCTGATGGGCCGCTTTTGTATTCTATAGAGAGTGGAGCTCTTTGTAAAGCGGCAGCATGGCATTTGACCCCCAGTTGCTCTTCAAGTCTTCCACGAGGATGCTTGGGGTACCTGTGCCACATATTTATGGAATGGTGGATGTGGGGATCTCACACCCCATCCACGACTCACGATTCTTCACACAATGGAGCGCCGAGTGTGCCGAATTCAGGCGTGCTCCTGGCGCTTCGCAGCTTCTGTTCGCTTTCGAAGGTGTTCACCTTTCAGCTGACCAAGTCATCTGAGTGGCATGTACTGAAGAAACCCAAGACTTCACTCGCGGAACACCAAGCTGAGTGAAATAAGCACCGTCTTTTTTTTTGCCAGTGCCATTGCCATTGATTCATCATGAAATAGGATCCCTCTTTGACTGAGACTCGTGACTCGTCATAGCCTCCCGGTTTGGTCGTCCGATTTGGCAGGCTCTGATGAGAATCCCTTCAGCCCGCCTGGCCGTCCAGTGTTGACGTATGGGAGAGAAGGCTGACCAAGTGCTGCGGCCACACAGTGCTCAATGTGCTTTTTGAAAGGCGCCAGAGATCAGTGAAAGAACTGTTAAAACTAGTGAAGGAGGCGGAACGCAGTTGGTGGCTGGAATAACTCCACTGACATCCGCACAAGTACAGCGCTGGTGATGATAAGTGGAGGTACATGCTGCCATTGATCCCCATATTGTGAGGAGGGCCAACAACAAACATCTTAAAGATCCACTTCTTCCATGATCTTTTGCCAAGGCGCTCGGACGCTTCCTCTGTTGCGCGGGTGCTGTGTGGCTCTGGATCCTCAGGTGTTGGCCCGCACTGACGTTCACCCCAAACATCCTCGGTGGAAGTGGCGTCGGTTTGAATGGCCAACTCTAGGAAGTGGAATCAAATTCGCACATGGAATGGTATGGAAAGTCCACCAGCTCCGAATGTCGTTGAACCACCTTTTTGAATTTGGACTTGAATCTTCGTGTCTCCGAATGACCCCACCAGCGATGCCACGCTGCCGTGGATTTGATGCATTTTATGGACAACATGTGTTTGGGGGAAATTTAAATGTGTTGGTGCTTACCATTGCTTACAGTACCCTAATTGAAGAGCTTAGCAAATTAGGATCAACACCCCCAATGCATCTTCCTCTTAGATAATGCAGGATGTTCTCTCGGTGGGACATCGAGATTTCGGCAAGGCCAGTGAGATCTGACGACGGCAAAGGGCGAACAAAGATCGGCCATGCCATGTTCTTAATTAGCTATTGGCCCAGTGGCCGCTTGTGAGGTGGCTATGGACTTCAATAGTGGGAACCAGGATGTGGAAAGGTCCAGAGGCACTGCTACTTGTTACTTGTTCGCACCTGGCAAGGGCAAATGGTTCTCATGCAAGATGCAGTTCCAGTCGGGGAGCATTGGGTCTTGTTTGGAGACAGGGAAGCTTCATCGATTTTAGAGCCGGAGTGGTGCCGGGCTCAACACGGGCTCCATTCAAGGACTGGAGCTGTGCCTGCTGAGCTCGTGTAGGTGTCGTTGTGGTACCTGCAGCGCATGTGGTGATTCTGGAAGACTACTAGCGATGGCCCCCAACCTACTAGCGATGGCCTCCATGGCCTCCAACCTATATACTATATATACTTTTTTTAATTCTACCGCTTTCTTTTTTTTTGATAACTTGTAGGTTGATGTCGCATTCTCTAAGCAGCACTGACCATGCGTACGCTGCAGATGCTGTGAATTCAGATCGATTCAAGTCGGTTGGGCCGCTCGGGGTCCTGGCGCTGCATTTCTCAGGGCACCCGCAGGGTGATAGATGCATTCTGTTAATCCGTTAATCCCGATTTATCCTTTTAATCCAGCAGCCGAGCCCCTACACTTCAGCATGTTTAACTGTAGCTTGATGCTGTGCGCCGATCTCACGCAAAAAAGGCGTTGGAGAGTTTGCCTGGGTTTGGTACTTGGAGCCTTTTCAGTCATTGCCTCAACCGATCTCGTGGATCCTCATTTGGGACACGCAACGAAGAATAAACATCAACAGAATCAACAGCGGAGGTATACCGATGTGACCGGTAGCTCATTGGATGGATCCCTCAGCAGTGATGTGAGGGACAGGTCTTAAAACAACTCCATGCCGTGCTCTTCGGGGTGTGAATGAGGGCTGTGCGGGGTTTTGCTTCCCGCTCAGCGGGCCGGATCCGACGCTCGGCTCTGGTCGGTCGGCTGCAGGCGCTGTTGCACGAGCAGCAGGAGGCACTGGGTGGCGATCCTCGCTGGCAGCCGGCTGTCAGCCTGAAGCGGACCAAGCCGAAGGCCGGGCGGATGAACGGCCCCATACGGCCCCCTTTTATCTCAGATGCAGAGTCAGAGTGGCAAAGAATTGCATAAGCTACATTGCATGTTTTTCTTCCTTCCCCCTTTATTCCCGAATGCGTAGCGAAGGGTTCCCGTTTATAGTTGGGGGTCTGGGGGTTGGACCTGTGTTTGCATGGCTTGCGTAGTGTCGTCGTCTCTCGTCGTCTGTCGTCGTCTCTCGTCGTCTCTCGTCGTCGTCGCGTCTCAAATTTGCTGCCATTGGGGGAAGCTTTTGCAAGTGACTTTGCATGGATGCGTCACGTGTCAGTTTGCACCGCTATTCCATTGTGATTTGCATGACAATGACATGTCGTGCAAGAAACGTGATGCATTTCGCTGCACAGGCGCAGCGTTTTGTGAGATCCACAGATTGCTGCGCAGTTCCATTGGGATTAGCGTTTGGAGAGTCGTGTTTTTGGGGTGTTGGATGTGGCCGTGCCATTGGGATTTGCGCTTCAGGGTGTGGCATCGAAGCTCGGTTTTCGTGACAAGTCTCAGCTGAAATGGCGATTTTGGTGGATGGGAGTGTGCTCAGAACGGGTCGAAATCATTCC